AAAAAAAAAAAGAAAGAGAGAGAGAAAGGAGGAAAGAGAAGTGCTGAATGAGTGCTAAAATAATATAATTTGATAAGGGCAAAAGAATTGAAGATGAAAATGCTCTCTTAGATCCTCTAAAACATTCTGCTTTTTTATTTCATAAAATAAAATAAATCTCACTTGGTAAAGCAGCTGAGTAAAAAAGGTTAGAAATGTAATGTAGTTTCCTGTACCTTCTCCCTACCCCCATCCCCAGGATATCATTTTACCTGCCAAAAGCAGGAAGCAAATGAAGATGCCCTACTCACTGTTATCTATCTAAGCTTTCTTGTACAGTCTTTTTGTAGACAACATGAAGTAAAGAAGGATAAACACCAACAGTAAAAGAGCACCATGAATAAAAAGCACACAAAAATGGTACAAAGTAGTTATTAGAAAACAAAGTAACAAAACAAGTCTAAGCCTAACTGCTAAGTGGATTCTGCACAGACATACAGCATATAGCTAGTCTACGACTTTGTGGCTTATTCATCACTATGGAAATCTTGATGTTGATCCCCATGTTTAAATACATCATGGTTTCAGAATTAGAATTTAGGATTATTGTTAAATAAGATTAATTCATTAAAAAATCCTCTCTCCCCAAACAGGCCAACGAAGCTAAAGATTTAAGAGTCAATTATTTTCCATGACATTTTAAGAATAGCAGAATAATAACCTGCTATATTTCCGATCTCTTTCACTTTTAAATTTATAAGGAATGTTTTCTCTTGTTTTTAGTTGCTTTGTGGATCTTTTATTTACTTGTATACTTTTTATCCCCTTAGAAGTTCATTAGGATACTGTGCAAATAATGTAATCAGATTCACAGATATAAAGAAGTACATTCTAGGATGCTGGAAGCAATTCTTTTTACTTAAGGGAAAAAAAGTGCAAAGTGAATGAGAGACTAAGCTAACCATCATGGTTCCCTCCAGAATAGAATCACTTCTTAGTTTTATAACTGATTCTTGGAGAGTTTCTATAAACAGAGATAAAAAATAAAATAAAGAGATGGTAAAAATATTTTGGTTCCAGAAAGGAGGAGGTATAGTTCATCTGCAATACCTCTATGGAAATAGGCACTCAGTTCTGTTCAACCACAGCCCTGAAGAACTGAGGAGTGAAGGTGGAAAGGCATACCTGCCTGGTGGAAAGAAACACTGGCCTAATGAGTCAGATCCACCAAAATAACCCAGCAATTGGGGAGTGACAGGAGTGATAGATATTCCATCCCAATCACCTTCTCTCCCACTTTTGAGAGGAACAAACCAACAGCAATTGGCACAGGAGATAAAAGATCAAATCATAAAAAGGTGAGAAATGATGGGGTGGGAAAGATTTTTGTTGTTGTTGTTTCTAATACCTGAATCCAATGATGGGACACTCCTTGCAGATGTTACATTTGGCCTGATGCTTGGCAGTTTCCGCAGCAGCCACTCTGTGCAGGACGGGCAGCCACACCATGGACTGGGGTTCCAGTCTCATCCAATCTAGGAAGAGGGCTGCTTCAATCTCGGGCTTATTATTAGCCTGCAGCAGGAGGGAGACAGAAGGAGGGCAAAAAGATGCAAGAAGAGAAGGTGAGAAAGGAAAGGAGTCATGTCAGTTCAAGTAATATGTTAAACAAAAAAGAAAAAACAATAGTTGCACAGTGAGGTTAACTTTTCACAATTTGTTTCTGCAAATGTCCCCCTAACATCCACAAGAGCCATCTACCCCTAAGGCTTTGGTAAACTGCCATTACTCTTTTTGGCTACTATGTGACAAAACAAACAAAGCCAATAAATGAGAAAAGTCTAGCAAAATACACACTAAGTGAGACTATACTTAGCTCCAATTTTTTAGTGGATATATAAAAGTTAATCAGAAGTAAAATGCAAGAGTTTGCCAGGCACGGTGGCTCAAGCCTGTAATCCCAGCACTTTGGGAGGCTGAGGCGAGAGGATTACCTGAGCTCAGGGGGTCGAGGCCAGCCTGGGCAACTCAGTGAGACCTTGTCTCTACAATAAAACAAAAAATAAGCTGGACATGGTAGCACACGCCTATAGTTCCAGCTTGTTGGAAGGCTGAGGAGGAAGGATCGCCTGAGTCCAGCAGGTCGAGGCTGCAGTGGCCGTGAGCATGCCACTGCACTCCAGCCTGGGCGACAGAGTGAGACTCCGACTCAAAAAAAAAAAAGCAAGTGTTTATTGATAAAATTTCAAAGAAGAAAAAACAACTCAGGAACTATTGATTTTTTTTCTAGAGAATCTATTTCTTATAGAATTATAATAAAGGGCTTTAAAATTCATCTGGTTCCAAGGCCTTATTTTATAGACAAGAAAACTGAAATGTGCATCAGAGAAGTAGTTTTTCAAAGGCCATGTAACTGGCAGCAGAGCTGATGATAGAATCCAAACCTCCTGGCCTGGTGCTGTTTTTATGGTGTGCTGTGGATTCTCAATTTCTCTCTTCAAAATATAGCTACCCATAAATTTGACTTATATGTTATTACACTCATGTACATTTTAATTTTATCTTGTTTTGTAGCCCTACAAGATTATGTTCAACTTCTTTATATTGTTAGATGGATTGACCCATACATTGACCACTATTTTGTTCTTCATTGCTTCTTTCACCTCAGATCTTCCATCTGGTGCTGCCTGAAATATATCCTTTAGACCATTTGTATACCTAACCCTGAATTGTACCCCACATTTTTTAAATTAAAAAAAAAAGAATTTCTTTTAGCTGTTGGTGATGAATTTCTCAGATTTTGTTGTCTGAAAATACTTCCTTTTTATTCTATTTTAAAATTTTTATTTATTTATTTATTTATTTATTTATTTATTTATTTTTTGAGTTGGAGTCTCACTCTGTCGCCCAGACTGGAGTGCAGTGGCTGCTCCCGGCCACCGCAGCCTCGACCTGCTGGGCTCCTGCAATCCTTCCGCCTCAGCCTTCCACGTAGCTAGAACTACAGGCATGTGCTACCACGCCCGGCTCATTTTGATTTATTGTACAGATGAGGTTTCGCTGCCCAGGCAGGTCTCGAACCCGCGGGCTCAGGCAATCCACTCACCTCAGCCTCCCAAAGGCGCGGGATTACAGGCTGAGCCACTGAGCCCGGCTTTTATATTTTTTTTTTTTGAGTTGGAGTCTCACTCTGTCACCCAGACTGGAGAGCAGTGCCTGCTCCCGGCCAACGCAACCTTGACCTGCCGGGCTCCAGCGATCCTTCCGCCTCAGCCTTCCAAGTAGCTGGAACTACAGGCACGTGCTACCACGCCCGGCTGATTTTTGATTTATTGTGGAGATGGCCAAGTTGCCCAGGCGGGTCTTGAACCCATGGGCTCAGGCAGTTCACTCACCTCAGCCTCCCAAAGCGCGGGATTACAGGTTGAGCCACCAAGCTTGGCTCCTTTTTATTTTTAATTATTATTAATATCTTAGAATCATGGAGTACATGTAAGGATTTGTCAAGGAAGTTTATTGTGTGAAGTCAAGGTCTGAGCTTCTGACAAGCCTGCCCTCCTCCTCCCCCAGTAGTGAGCATGGTACCCAATGGAAGGCTTTGCATCCCTTATCCCCCCTTCCTTCCTCTCTCCTTTAGCAGTGCCTGTGTGTCTAGTGTTTAGTGTCCACTTATGAGTGAGAACATGCAGTATTCAGTTTTTTGTTTCTGTGATAATTCACTTAGAACGATGGTCTCCAGCTGCCTCCACGTTCCTGCAAAGAACATGATTTCATTCTTCTTTATGGCTGCATAGTATTCCATGGTGTATATGTACCACACTGAAAATACCTCCTTTTCTAAATCCATGTTGTTGATAGCTATTTTCATTAGGTATCAAATATTTAATGTAAAGGTTTTGGGGGGATTTGTTTTTATTTTGTTTTAGCATACTGAATATTATTCTACTTTATCTCACTTTCTCTGTTGCTGTTGAGAAGTCAGTAGTAAAGATGACTGTTGCTCCTTTGAAGAAAATCTGTCCTTTTTCTGTCTTGTGTTGTGTCTAGGGTTTTATTTAGACTGCTTAGGATTCACTGAGTTTCTTGAACATGTGAGTCTTTAATCAGCTCTGGAATCTTCTCAATCATGATCTCAACAAATAGTGCCTATTCTCTATTACCTCTCTATTCTGCTTACAGAACTCTTATATAAATGCTAGATTTGCTCAATCTCCATATTTCTGAACAGTCCTTCCCTAGTTTGTTTCCTTCCCTTAAAAAAATCCTTCTGTGCTTCATTCTTAATAAATTCTTGTGCCCTTTTGTTGTGGTGTCCATTTCTCTCTTTGGCTATGGCAAGTCTACTGTAAACTTACAAATATTTAAATTTTGGTTATTGTACTTTTTAATATCTAGAAATTTTATTTGGTCATTTTTGAGGTCACGGCTAAAGTTTGTGGTTCCCTGTAGATACTTCTCAATGTTGTTTTTTTTTTTTTTCCTTTTTCTAACAGTATAAACATAGCTTTAAAAATATTCTTTATCTAATAATTCTGAAACATGACATTATTGTGGGTCTATTTCTATGATCTGCTATTTCTGCTGGTTCTCAATTACCTTGTTTTTTTTGTGTGCTTAATTTGTTTTTTACTATATGCTACATTGTCCTTAAAAATATTTTCTGGAGATACTTTGAGACTTAGAATAAAAGTGCTTTCTATGGAGATGATTGACATTTGCTTTTGCCAAAAACCAAGGGGCACTATGTTTTAAACAATCAATTTCAGCTGAATATATGACATGGAATACTAAATACCATACAAGTAATGAATATTTGAACTGCAAGTCCAAATTGCTTCTCTTGGAATGCAGTTTGCTAATAAAGGCTGCATCCACATTTCAGATAGAAGGGCAGTAGGGTTTAGACTGGCATGTCATTTGGCTTATAGCACTGACCACTTCAACAGTATTCCAGTTGTTACCCCTAATTATAATTTAACAGCATTATAATGAGCTGTTTGACCTTGGATTTTCTAGCTGCAAAATGGTATCAATTCAAACTTCTGATCAAAAGCTTTATTTAAACACTTTTCTCTGTGGAGAGTATCATCAGAGGGGTACTTTATGGAAAATTAAAAAAAAGAATTATGGAATGTAAAGATGAAAGGAATCATGCAAGTCAATTGATCTTTTTGGAATGGCACCACAGAGCTGTAAGATCTTTAGCCTTCATTGAGTCCAAGCTCTTACCTCATGCCAGTGTGTTCTTACAGGCACTATATAAATACCACCCATGTGAGAAATCAAGCATCCTTGAAGGGTGAGCTTGAACATCTGTGTACAGGTACGCCCATGAAAAGTGCTATATCACACTGAGCTGAAATTCGTCAGCAAAGCGTATAGGAGCAAAAGTTCCAGAGTCAAACCACTAGAGTTTAAATCTCAGCTTTGCTACTCACTAGTTGTATAACCTTGGAAAAAAACTTTATCTCTCTGTGTCTTAATTTTTCTCTGCTATAAAGTAGAAATAGTAATAGTGCCTATCTCGCAGGGTTTTTTTAAAGATTACATGAGTTAACAAATGAAAGGCACTTGGAATAGTGTCTGGCACATAGCAAGAACCATGTTTGCTATTGTTATAATTATTATGATGATCCATCTCACTAGGAACCCAGAAGTTCTTGGCCTTCACCCAGTCCTTTATTTTATCAGAGCCATCATATCTGTCCATGCCTCGTCATTTCTGTTCTTTTTATTTCTTACTCATATAATATGGCTTAATTTGCTATTATCTTTTAGAAAACTGTTCTCCAAATATGATTGCTAGGAATGGCACCTCCATTTCTCTGGGCAATATAATTGGATTACTTCTTTTGTTCTGTACCGGAGACTCACACAAGGTTCCTACCCAACTAAAATCTCTGAGTCAGTGTTTCCCAGTATGTCCAGTAGATCAATCGTCCAGCAAAATGCTTCATGAAAAGAGGGTCAAATTAATTAAGGAAACATTGCACATTATATCTGCCTCTTAAAATTCTTAATGCACATTAACATATTAAAAGCTGAGAAGGTCATCAGTAAAGAAACATGTTAAACTTGGTTTGACCTCAGAATTTTCACACTTATTATTCAATAATCCCAAGGCCTTTATCCTTTTTCAATTTACAAGGTCTGTAAACACCACAAAGTATTAATGTCCTGCTGGGCATTGTGGGAAATGCTATTCTTGATTGTTTCCCATGATCCCTCTATTCTGTACTTGTCCAATTGGGATTTTTTTCCTTTCACATCTGCCAAGCATTTTCCTATTAGTTTGGGCCCATTGTAAAATCTCATCAATATCTTTAAGAATTCTGATTTCTATAGCCAATAAATTAGCCATTCTTCCTAACTTAGAGTAGTCTTTACATTTCAAAACATGTGTTCTATCTTCATTTTAAGATGTCACTGGTAAAATATCAAACAGGCCAAGGTCAAACATGAGCCATATCACTATAGCCTGCACCTCAGGTCAACACAAACCCATGATACAGGCTTCTGTGGTTGTTCAACTATGAGTCTTCCCAATTACATTATCATCTAGTCTCTGTTGTGTA